TGGTTAAAATTCCTTTGTCAAAAATTTAAATCTCCTTTGACTTTTAAAAGACAAGAATTTGTTTATCAAAAGGGAAGAATATTAGACAGATAAGTCTAGAGTTCAGAACATCCCAAAATAGTAGACTAGGATAAAAGAGTGCTGACAAAAGAGCTTTCTCCATGTTTGCACAAGGACTGTGGATACCAACATGTGACTGTATTACATAGATGTAGTGGATTAAAGGGAAGTGAGCTAGTGTATTCAATAACATGCTGAAAGACATTAAAGACTGGGGGGAGGTGCCATCTAGCACCATTTTCGCTATAAGCAAATGATTATGCATTACCAGGTTCTACTTAGAATTTTTTTCTGTCCCATTTTTGAGAAAGACCACTGTTTTCCATGTTTTCATATGAAGGTTGCCAGCTATACAGTTCTTTGTCATAAACTCAGAACAGTTCATAAATTTCTGGATGTCATAAAATCACTCTGCCTTGTCATCATTCTTACAGAATGGAACTGACTTGGTGAACCTGTTTTATAACTACTATTGATTACTGTCATTTCCTTGAGTTTTTTTCTCTTTTCTTTTGTTGTTGCTCTTATTAATTTGTTCATATCTATGTCAAGCTCCAGAGCCATTCCAGTATCACACCCAAGAGGGCTGATTTCAAAAGCAGTGCTATTCTATTTCTGGTCCACATCCCACAGAGAGCATCGAGGCCTACTCAGTCACCCTGGCCTTTCCTAACCCATACTTGCCATCCTGTGCTTCAGTCCCCACACCACACTTGATCTTGCCATTTCCCTCCACTGCTTATTATTGCTGCTTGAAAGTCTGGATCTGGAGTGTCTCCTAAAGGCCCATGAGTAAAAGCATGATCTATGGCCCAAGTGCTCCAAGGATTAGGAGGAGTCTTTAACAAGTGAGGCCTGGCTGGGCATGGTACTTTTCATACTTATAATCAGTAACGAGGAGGCTGAGGCAGGAGGACCACTGTGATGTTAAGCCAGTTTGGGCTGCATAATGACCCTGTCTCATTTTTTTAAAGTTCATCTAATGGGAAGAAATGAGATCACTGGGAATTTGCCCTTGAAGAAAACATTGGAACTCTGGTCTATTCTCTCTGTTTCAGCTTTCACTGCTTAGCATGAAAGCAATTCATCCACCATGTGCTATTTCCATGACCTGGTGGGTCAAACAACATGAGGCTAAAACCTCTGAGCTTGTGAGCCAAAATGAAACTTTTCCCTTTTACGTTGGTTATTTTGGGTACTGAGTCCCAGAGGCAGAAAGCTGACTTTCATACTTTTGCTTTTGTTATCATTTTCTTTCATTTGCTAGGTATCTTACGATATGACTATGTGTGAATTTTTGTTTTGTTTTTTTATGGAGACAGTGCCTTACATAGATGGCTTCAAGCCTGATATGTAGCCAAGGATGATCCTCCTGCCTCCTCCTGCCAAGTGCTGGGATTATAGATGGGAGCCACCATGGCTGACTTCACATGTGATTTCTTATTTTGTTATCAATGTAATGGCTCTAAAAACACATTCTCAAACTTCAAAAGACACCCTTCAATAAATGATTTGGCTTGACATGGAACCAGCATCTTCAAGGGCTACCTTCCAAACCACTTACAACACAATGGCCATTAGTACAAAATCACAGATGAAAGAGCAATTTATAGGGCTCCTGGTTAAACACAAAGAAATAAAGACAAGAGAATGACTAAGAATTCACAGGAACACTTTGGATCTTTTCTAAAGAGCCAACAAAGAAGAAACAAAAGCCTCTAAATATATATTGTAGCACCAACTGTGTACCACCCCCAATTACTGTGTATTCAGTATTCCAATGGGAAGCATCCATTGATTGTTTTTGTTGTTGTTATTTTTTTGTACCAGTTGTGTTTAGGTTTCTGGTGACCATAGAACCAAGAAGATGAACTCCCTCCACCTGTGTGAATGAGTCTCAGTCACTCTAAGTGGGTCATGAACATTAAGCTCTCTTCCTTGTGATTTGTTTAGAAACCAGAATGTGGTTCCATTATGAGCAGATGATGAGAAACCTATTGTGTGAGAGTTTCTGGAAGATTTCCACCAATCCTAAGAAGGGCATAAAGTGAGGATATTTCCTTCTCTGCCTTTGAATGCTTCTATATAAGGTGACGATGCAGGAGCCTTAGCAGTCATCTTGTCATTGACTTTAAAACCTGAGGACAGCAACCATCAATGCTGAAATTCTAAAACTGCTGACTCCTGGTGAGGTTGTTGAGTCACTAAACTAGTTACCTGTCACTAGAATTGGCTACCCATCCCTAGAAGCAGTCAGTTATCCCTAGAGATGGCTATCCATCCCTGTAACTGGCTGCTCACTTGCTGTGGTCTGAATGAGAAGCGTCCCCCACTGTTTAGGTATAGAACTTTTAGGATATAGAGCCTTGCTGGTGGAAGTACATCACTGGAATCGACTTTTGAGGGCTTAAGGCTTCAACCCACTTCCTGCTATCTCTTTCTCTATTTCCTGCCTGTGGCTGGAGACACATTCAGCCAGCTTCCTGCTTCAACCACCTGCTGCCCATTATGTGCTCTCTCTCTCTCTCTCTCTCTCTCTCTCTCTCTCTCTCTCTCTCTCTCTCTCCAAGCCAAAATAAACTCTTCTATAAGTTGCTTTTGGTCATGGTGTTTTATCACAACAGAAAAATAGCTACTGTAATATCTACAGTATCCCTAGAACTGTCCCTTCATCCTTAGAATTGTGACATTATTCAAACAGTAATAAAGTCACTTATTAAGCTGTCACTGTTTAAGATAATTATTTAGTTGCTTATTTAATTAGTTAGAAATGTGGTCTCACTCTATCTCCTAGGTGAGCCATGATTTCTCAGTCTTCCTGTCTCCATCCCTGAAGCTAACGAGATTGTACACTCATGTGAGCATGCCCAGATTTTCTTGGACAGATAAATTGTACTTGGACAGATAAATTGACAAATGTTATTAGTCATTTGAATGTTTGGTTATATCCAGTGAAGAAATTTTAAGGGACTTCAATAACCACTTACTTAACTTGACTTTAATCATAAAGACACAGAATAGTCACATATGTGGTAGTTAGTATCTGTCTACACTCCTGGCACTGGGGAAGCTGAAGGACACACACACACACACACACACACACACACACACACACACACACACACACTTACTTACTGAGGGCTAGGGAGAAGCTCAGTTGGTAAAGTGCTTGCTTTATAAACATGAGGACATGAGCTAAATTTATACAGCCTAAAACAAATCTATGTGTGGTGCCATGGCCTTGGAATCCCAGCACTTGAAGAGAGAGGCAAATGGATGCCTGGGTCCCTGACTGATCAGCCTGGTTTACTTGGCAAGTTTTAGGCTAATGTGAGTTCCTGTCTCAAACAATAAACATGGATAGCAAATCTGGATCTGTTATTTAAAACACTTGAGCACTTAAATAAGATAGATTCGGAAAAGAAAACACAGTGCCCCTCCTCCAATATGCCCTGAAGCCACAAAATGCCAAAGCTAATCTGCCACTTAATATCCTCAGCTCAGGGACTCCTTAGCATCATTACTCTTGTGCTTTGGAGCCATTATTAAGTAAAAAGGGGTCACAAACACTATGACAACAGATAGCGAATCTTGCATCAGAGAGGGCTGCTGTGTGGCCTTGCTGGACCGAGGGACAGTGCACATCCAGAGTGGCTGAAACGGTGCTTTGAGGGTTCATCAGCTGTTCAGAAAGTTGTGCAATTTAAGACTTCATGACATGTTCATCCCGGAATTTCCCACCTAATATTTTTAGACCATGAATGACTGTGGGCACCGAAACTCAAAGAAATCGAGACTGCAGATGTAAAGGGAGACCACTGTGTCAAAATTTCTAATGTTATGCTAAACTGTATCCCACTGTATTAGCATAAGCAGCCTGAGAAGCTGGCTGTGCAGATTTGAATTGTATAATTGCAAGACAAACTTAAGAATTAACAATACACAACATAACTATCAATTCTTGCTGGAGGATTTATATGGCTAAGCAAATGTTAAGTGACTATCATGTACTATAAACATGAAGGCGAAAGAAAATAAATAACTCTAAAATGTATTTAGAGCTAGCCATGAGGAATCACTCTGAAGCCATCGAGGAACAATACAAACAAATAAATAACCCTAAAACTTGAGTTTTGCAGACTCAATAAGCACTCAGGTGGAATGGTAGTTTGTTTGAGAATCTGTGCTTTCAACTGTAGCTTAAAAGGAGGGGAAACCTAAAAAGCACATTTTTTCTTTTCTTTTTTAACAGAGAAAAACATTTAGCAATAAATAAAAATGAATAGAATGTTCTAGAACTGAATACTGTTGGCTAACCTTCAAATACTTGATTTACAGATAGGTCATTCAACTTGATGTCCACAGACCACTAATTTCAACAAGCTGCAAGCACAACCCGTTCTGATTTATTGTCTTGGATTGAGCCCAGGGCCTTGTACATGCCGAGCTCTCTCAGTACCCCTGAGATACACTCCAAGCTATAATAAAAATTTAAAGAACAGCATTGATGAGCTGTTGCTATGGGGGCAAAGAAATTTCCTTTTTAAAAAAAATTTTTTTTTTTCTGGTATATGGAAGACTTTTGTTGGGTCAAGATCAGGCTGATCTTGGTGAAGGGTGTCCCCTGCTGGGCAGTCTGATGTTACAGCATTACAAGATGAAGTTGATTGGCTAGATTAAAAATACCCTTGCCTGAGCCACATATCAGACTAGCTGAAACCAAATCTGTGCACGGGGTTCTGTGCGCTCACACTTTTTAGACAGTTCCAGTTGGTGATAAATACTTGCTGAATATCGCTGTATTTTTACTGTTACCAAAAATGATGAGTTTCACACTCCAGGAATGACCTGGGAAGTTGTGTGAGGTACTTCTTTTTGCTGAACAGAAAGCAAATGAGCCAAGGGTGTATAGACATTCAGGGTTATTTAGCTCCATTTACCTTGGGCTTCTCATCCAGGATCTGCTGGCGGATCTCTTTATGTTTCTCCACAAGTTTTTCTTGTCTTTTACTTTGGGCTTCCTCTAACTGTAAGAAAGTTATCAAAAGAAAAGAGTCATATTAGGAAACAAAAAAATTAAAGCTTTTATGCATGTCACAAGAAACAAAACAACAACAAAAATCTCAAAGTTTTTCAAGTCTGTGGTATCAATTGTTTGGTACTCTGGGAAAGAATTGTCCTTTGAAGCTAGGTAAGGGGAACCCAAGGCAGGGAGGGGTGGTGACTGGCAGACACACATTTTGTAAATGTCTGAAAATTTCCATAACACAATTTTTAATAACTTAAAGACTAACATAGATATGGCCATCACCTCTATCACTGATAATGAAAGGATGCTTTGGGAACTCCACTTGGTATCACTTTTTGGGGGGTTCTTGACTTGGGCAGTGATTCCTCTCTGTTCATTTTTATAGCCCTTTTATTTAGCTCTTTTATACAGAGGGTTCTCAATAGCCAGACTGTATCCTCTTATGATGACCATCACAAAGCAGATGGATGCTGGTGACACAATGAGGTACAATTCTCTTCCCAGCAGTTCACAATGAGCCTGGCAACTGTCCATGTGGCATTTGCAAAGGAGACACGGTGAACAGACATACCCTCTTGATGTACTGCACCACCTCCTGGATGTATGAACGGATCATCTCTGTCTTCTCCCTAAATGGAAATGAGCCACAAATCATTAACCAACCCACCTGGAAGCCCAGACTTCTGTGCCTTTACTATCACTGGATAGCTGTTGAATGAAAGGTCCAGTCTGGAAGTGCGGGCAGTGGTGATGTGTTTCCCCAAGCTTGGGCTCTGTTTTTATTAGATGTTCCCTAAGTCGTCCAACAACTTGAGAAATGAGAATTTACCCATTTCCCAAAAGAGATCACTTGGCTTTTTTTCTAAAATGCCCAGAGTGCCCCTGTTTGAGAATTCATTGTAAAAACCTTACAATTGAGACTGTAGGGATGGTCCCCATAGGCTCATAGGCTTAGTGGCTAGAGAGTGAAAATCTTTCATAGGATTATAAGGATTAGGAGGTGTGGCTTTGTTGGAGTGTGTCATTGGGGCTGGGATTTGAGGTTTCAAAAGCCCAAGCTTCTTGGTTCTCTCTCTCTCTCTCTCTCTCTCTCTCTCTCTCTCTCTCCTTATCAACCAAGATATAGTTCTCCGCTGCTGCTCCATCACCTTGAGTGAAGCCATGCATCTGCCATGAAGATAATGGACTAACCCTCTAAAACTGTAAGAAAGCCCCCACCCCTTCTTCCTTTTATAAGAGTTGCTTTGGTCATGGTGTCTCTTCGAAGCAGTAGAACAGAGACTAAGGAAGGATCCTGTGGAAGATTGATTAGTAGGGAAACTTTACCAAAGGGCCTTTGGTTAAGACAATGGCTCTCTACTATAAGACAACCAATTCATTCCAGTTAAGGAAATGGCTACTTTCCACTTACTCTTCCATCTGGCTTTTGTCTTTGGACTTGGCTTCTGTTATCTTCTCCTGCCTCTTTTTATCCATTTTCTTCTTTAATTCCTTCTTCTCTCTGAAGTTACAATGGAGGAAAAGTCAGACAAACGGAACAGCAATCTGTATCGCATGCATTTATGTCTATTAGGCCAAGTGGGACGGGCTGAAGGCTTACTTCTCGCATGTCTCCTTGAGCTTCTTCAGCTGGTTGTTCTGACACTCTTCGGCAACATCTGTCAACTTCTGAATAAGCTGGGAAGAAAAAATGCCAAACATTGAGCTGCTGTTAGAGTCACCACAATATAACTTTGGTAATGAGGACATGGTTTTAAAGGATCACATTATCTGTTTGTGTGTGTGTGTGTGTGTGTGTGTGTGTTTGTGTGTGTGTTTTTAAATAGGAAGTCCTTATGATTTTCTCCTGTAATTGAATTGAATTGGCTAGATTGTCATTCCAGTTCCCGAAGCAAGGCTCAATGCAAACACAGATAGCAGTGTGAACATAGGTTCCTATCTCTACTCTGTAACATATAAAAAGTATTAATTGGGGGCTAGGGATATAGATTAGGGGTAATAAGCTTTCAATGTATGATTTGGGGCAAGGCTTTACCTTTTCTTAACTGACATTTTCTTGATTATAAATCAGGTCATTGCTCCATTTACCTCTAGTAGGTATTGTGATGCTTAAATAAAATAATAAGTATGACATAACAGAAGTTATAATCAGCAGTGTAGTAGAATTGAAGCTCAGGTTGTGGGAATGCAATAACTCTATTGTTTTGCATCCATTTTCTTATCAACCCAAGATTCAAGACAGCAACAAGTGCATCTTTGTAGCCTCAGTACTCCACATGGTTCTCAACATTCAGTGCATGCCCAATGAATGCTTGTCAATTCCATGAATGTGAATTTTCATGTCAGTCCATCCTCACTCTTTATTCCACTCTTAGAGTCTTCAGAACCACAAGTGGCTGTAGCAGCAGACCTCAACCCTTTCACTGGAGCATAAAATACATGGCTTGGACTTTCTTTGAGAGTCCCTATTGCTATTTCCAATGTGAAGACTTTCTTCCCCAAAACATATAGAGCAAGATGAGCTGACTAGTTTTATATAAGTAATATCTATCATAGTAACAAGTGAGTCATCCCTCAAGATCCGTAGAGGGTTAGTTTTGGAATCCCTAGTGTTTATCCAAATTCAGATTTAGAACAATGGATGCCTTGTGCTAAATGGTGTAGCACATGCGTGATAGTCACATACCCTTCTGTGTACTTTAAATCATTTAGATTGTTTATCATTTCTAGAACACTCTAAATGCTGTAAAATAAACTCAGACAGGCTCTACAACCCTGGGGTCTCCACATCTGTCAATGTTGTTCTCCACTGTTGTTTCAGAAGTTATAAAGGCCCCTTGAGCTGGGCAGTGGTGGCACACACCTTTAATCCCAGCACTCGGGAGGCAGAGACAGGTGGATTTCTGCTGACTGGTCTACAGAGTGAGTTCCAGGATAGCCAAGACTACAAAAAGAAACCCTGTCTCAAAGAAGTGCATGCATGCACATTCTCTCTCTCTCTCTCTCTCTCTCTCTCTCTCTCTCCAGAAGGTAGAAATCTTGCTGTGCTAGCATAAGGACCTGGGTTTTATTATCCAGCATCCACATGAAAAGGCAGGAGTGGCCATTCCAGTCTGTAACCCCAGCATTGATTTCAAAGGCTTAGAGAGATCCATGCTCATTTATGATAAATATGAGAGTTGGAGCATTTGTATGTGAATGGATTAGATTTGAATAGCGATCAAGGAGGATGTGGGCTACAGAATGCCTATTTCTTCATTCTGAAGAGACTGCTTCAGCATGGCTGCCACAGTTGAGCAAATCATGCTTCAAGTGGCGCCACTTATCAAATAATTCACATGTAAAATGCTATTTTTTTCCCCTAGGGACTCACACAAAGTATCCTCTCACTACTTCCCCCAGAGGACCTCTGTCCTGTTCCATTTGCCCTAAATGTTTCCCAGACATTATTCTGAGATTTCCCACTTTGCTACATCAGATTCACTTTGGGACACTTAAGAATGCAGATTGCAAGGCCTTGTTTCTGGGCTTATGAACTGCAGGAATCTGGTGGCTGGGCCTGAGGATGAGTATTTCCATAACCTCCTTGGAGATGTGAATGCTTTGGTAATCTGTCTCTGGGGTATCTCACAGGCACTCACTTGGATTTGACAGCAATCACACTTCCCTTTCTGTGCTTTCATCTCTCATTCATCTCCCAGAATATTTTATTTTCTGGAATATGTCAACATCTGCCCCATTTTCTGCTTTCTCCTTACCTATTATCCTTACTCTTAGTGCTTTGACAATTAGCCAAAAAGCCACCAAACTACAGACCTCTGGGCTTCTACCCACTCAGTTCTGACATTGATTTGAACTTGGGTCCTCAAATATGGCTCTATTGCAGTCCCCCAAGGTTCCTCTGGCTCACTGTCCTTGGACCCTGTGAACTTGGCTTTTGTTGTTCCCAATTCTTGTCCCCTTTGTTGGCTTCCACTATGTGAGAAACTATTCATTTCAGCCCAAACCTAACAAGTATTGATCAAGCATCTACTTATAGACCTGGCACTGTTCTAGACGTCTGGCCGATGACTCATCTAAATTGATCTTGTTATCATGTGTCTTATGACCAGCAGCCCCAGAATGACAAGGACACACACTAGAAATGAAAACTCTCAGGCCCTCCCCTAGACCAATAATTAGGACTCTGCACTTGCTCAAGATTCCCAGGACAAAATGTTCACCTTGGAACCTGAGAAGTCCTGTCTGGATTACTGAGTAGGATGCTGACACCATAAAAGAAGCCATATCAGTTTGTCTGGCCTCTGTCTCAAGTCTTTGGAACTCTGTCTGTATTTTCCTCATGATTCCAAATTCAGCATCCTCATCTCCGTAACCAGAGTGGTTTGAATGGCTCTGGGAAAATACACATAATTCCTGGCAGACGATATATCATATCACATGTCCTTAACTTGGTTTGTCTTTCCCCCAAATTATTTCCCCTCATGTCTTCTCAGCCTGTGGGCAGATCTGAAAAAGCATCTCACGTTCTTCCCTGAAATGTCCTGTCTGCATTTCTATCTATCCTTCCAGAACTGTGCACTCTTGTTCTAGCTTTTATGTCCTTGCATTCTATTTCTAAATTGGACAAGAGAGTCCATAGGATGCTTCATGTCTTTACTCCCAGCAATTTGAAGGCAGAGGATCAGGCATTCAAGGTCAGCCTGGGCATACAGTGAGATTTTTGTCTCACAAAACAAAACACAAGGCAATCAAATAAACAAAACAAAATGAAGAAAGCCCAGTGATTCCCACACTGCAGGGATTCCCCTTCTCACCTCCTTCAACCTTACCACGTGTTGTGGTTTTTTTGTTTGTTCTGTCAACTTGACATAAACTGGAGTCATGTGGGAAGGGGGAATTCCAATGGAGGGAATGCCTCTGTCAGCTTTGTCTGTAGGCAAGCTTATAGGTCATTTTCTTGATTAATGATTGATGTGAGAGGGTCCATCCCACTGTGAGCAGTTCTGCCTCTGCTCAGTGAAAACCAAGCAAGCAAGTTAGCAGTATTCTTCCATGGCATCTGCTTCAGTTCCTGCTTCCAGGTTCCTGCTCTGAGTTCTTGCCTTAGCTCCCCTCAATGGACCATGATAAGAGGCATGTAAGTCAACTAAATAAGCCCTTTCTTTCCCCAGTTACCTTTGGTCAGTGTTTCATCACAGTAATAGAAAGCAAATGAAAACACTGCCTCAATTCTGCTTCAAATACTGGAATTCACCTCATCTTTCAGTAAGATTTCAAAATCCTCTTTGTTGCTTAACTATGGCTCATTTCTCAGAATTTTAATTATTTCACAGATTCCTAAATTTTCCTGGTTCACAGAACCTTTATAAACTCAGTGATATTTTTTTCCAATGATACCTTTAGGCTAAAAAAGAAAATTAAAGAGTTGCCATAAGGTCCAAACAACTTATTGCTAGTAATTTGCATAGGATTCCCACAGATGTTCCTGTTTCTATAAAAACAAAACAAAACTATCTTACAGTTGTCTCTGGGAGTTTGGGGATGTGCCTGAGGGTGCCTTGGTACATATTTTCGGAATAATTACTTTTAACTTCATAGGATGGTTAACTACTCTCGCACAGAAATCTCTTCTTCAATTTAAATAGGAATTACTCGTTTTCTTAGGGGCTTCTCTACCTGCTGATCGACCTGAGCTGTGGATGCTTAGCACCTCCCCTCTCAGCATCTACATGAGCAAGCTGAGGCTTCCTCTCTTTTTCAAGACAAGACTTTCTCTTTGTATCAGGCCTCCTCACTCAGCTCACAAGTGTACAAGGCCTGCCCAACCCTCTTAGGTACTTTCATTATCCACCAAATCATAGACATCTGTCAACTTCTCCACATCACATGACTTTCTGGTAACAAGGACCCTTTTGCACATGTCTATAACCTGCAGTCTCTACCTTGCGAGCATTTCTTCCCTGTCTGTATGTAATCTTTCTTTGGCTTTTCTACTCCAGCCCAGATATTTTCCCTTCTTAAATGTCTCCAAGACTTAACTGGACCAGTCACCAGATACTTTTCTTGAATTGTAGATTTTTTTTATTCGCATTCACCATACCTCAATAAACAAGGCAATAGTTTGCTCCCAGGACTGACTGCACACACCTTTATGTTTACCCTTGTACATGTTATTCAACCCTGTTAGTGATATTCCCATGTGAACAAGACAGCAGAAATAAAGATCACTCTCATGATTGTAGATCTTCTTGGATTGTATTGCTGCCTCAACAATTCTTATTTCTATTTGATGTTTGTTTAATTAAGTTCCAGGTGGCAGTATGAGCACTATCACAAATTTGTTAGTAGTGTCTGGAGATGAGGTAGTATATGTGCAATACACAGTGGGTCTCTCTCCTACCCCGTCAAGAGAAGGCTTGGGTGCCTCTGTGCTTTCTCAGCACTGTTTCTCTCAGAAGGACTTACTCTGCTTTCTGGATCATGTTTGGCTCCCATAGGAACTGCTTTATACTTAAGCCTCCATCCTTTGGCCAAAGTAATTGATCCAGGAGATCATTGATCTAATCATAACTTGACTTCTGGCCATGTGTGACTTCTCTAAGCTAGCCAATCACATGACCCTAACAAGGCTCTCCCCCAAGATTCATGTATGGGTCAATGGAGAAATAAATGAA